GAAACTTTTATTGAAAAGAGAAAGTAAGTGGAGATCCCATTGCAGGCGCTGAGGTATTGCAAAAGTGGCAAAGCAGCGGGGAACTCAGTGGTGAGACGGTTTTGTTGCGTTTTCCATCGCTGCTTTGCTTTCTTTGAATTCACGTTTTTGTGGTTTTCAAGTGGCCATCTGTATGCCTTTAGAAATGATAGCTTGGTGGTGTTACAATTCCTCATTAGCACTGCCATAGAATTGTCAGAAATGTTTACTTTTTCAGGTAGAAAAAGGTTCTTGTTTATCTATTAAGTCCATATTCAAACAGTTGCAGTATCTCTCACCTTACCTATAGTACTTAATCTGGAAGAATCCAAGTCCTATAGCCTTATGCAGAATTATCATTTATGCAAAAATCTTCAAAAAACCCAAACTCCTCTCCCCAACCAACAAAACCTTTTTTGAGCCTTCTGCATAATTAAAGTGGAATGAAGGAGGGAAATAAACCCCAAGAAACTGAAGAAATGATAGAGTTTGTGGTTGTAAAGCTGTAACCCTGAGCTCAGTGGTGGGAGTGAGTTACACATCATACAATCATTGTACCAACTGGGTGAGTAAAAGGGAAGTGAAAACCCTCTAATTAATGTAGTTCTTGTCAAGAGAAGGCATAAAGCACATGCTGTGCCCAAGGAGAATACTTATTTATTTCCAAGGTCAGGGTCTGAGACCATATCAAAACACAGCAAGTGCTGCCATAACCTAGAGACATTTCTGGACAAAACTCAGACACACACACCCCTTCTCCCCCCAAAAAAACCCCACCTCCCCAGGATCCTCATCTTTTGATCCGTCAGTTTTTGGCTTCTGTACCTAATAAAAACCTTTGTCTCACAAGATTCAGAGATAACCTGAGTGCACATAGCGATAATCTAGAAAGAGATCCTTCAGATTTGAAAGGTTTTCACATTTGGTCTGTATCAGACCTCACAAGAAAAGGCTTTGCAGTGTTTGCATTTAAATGAACACACAGAGGATGTCCGACATATTCAGACTGATAAAGTTACATTCACCTTACATCTCGTATGAGAAAATGTGAAGATGCAAAAATGTCAGTCCCAAACTTCACACTGTTTTTTCTGACCTCAATTTGATGGACTTGTGGAGGATGGGACATGTATGAAGCAGAAAGAATGGGCTTAACGGAATTACAGAACCTGATTTTAAAGTGTGCTTTTTACCTGCAGTAGTTTTCTGTACTAACAAATGGTTGATCTGAATTAAGCTGCAAGCTGGCTGTTGTGAAGATTTCTTGGGGTGCCAGGAGGAGGAAATAAAAGAATTGCAGACAGGCTATTTGTGCACTGTAGGAAGTAATATAGAGAGGGTTTCCTTTATTTTCAGTACACGGAAGACACGGGATATCTCTACAATAAAAAGCAAATGGGAGCAAACCCTGTCAGCTACTCTGCTTAACCCCACTTCATAACTCTGAGACTAACAGGGTTACGTGAGTAAGCGACAGCCGCTGTAGGTTTGCTTGTACCTTCCCCACTACAAGAGAATATTCTCAGTATTACCACATTAAACAGGCTGCATATTCTGTTATGGTACCACTTCTGACAACAGCTAGGTACCTTCCTCCCCTTGCGTACTGCCCCCCATTTTAGATACAGAATTTAAAGTTCTGGCCTGCCTGAAATACAGAACGGTAAAGCTGTTTTCTTCATACTCACTTAACTCAGCATTTTAAAATATATTGCTAGGGTTTTTTTTTCCCCCCGGCAAGGCAATAGCAGCGGTGAGTGTGGTGTACCTGAAGAGCATCCTACTGCTTTAATCTTGAGTGGAAAGGAAGGAAAGTGAATTTTACATTCAGAAAACTAGATCTGTAGACTCCTGCTGCAGAATTTAAAGCGCATGGCTGAGTTTCAAAGCAACTTGTCAACTTGTTTAAACACCTCAGTGTTAGATAGGTAAACAACACAAGCCTATATTTTAAAGACTGTAACTTAGCTAGACAATTGCTGGCAGGCAATTCCCATAGACTTATAACACCAGAAAAACTGGTATTTGACCTTGTGGCTGTCTGATGCAGAGCAGGGAAAAAAAGAATCAAGTGATCAAGCGTCTTTTCTCCCGTGTAACGAGTATCTGGGTCAGGCTGCTGGCAACGACCATGCGTGTCAGCAGTAAAGGTAAGCATTTCAAAGCTGCCTTTCAAACCTGCTGTGTCAGGCTGTGTTTTGAGGAACAGCCAAAATCCCGGACTCCGGGCAGAGATTGGAAAGTGGGGTTTCCATCGACCTCCCAGGCACACGGCTATGTAAGGTTTCGAAGGACACCCAATCCCTCTCAAACCTCCCCAGTTAGGACCCAGACATGAAAACTGGACCAGGAGAGTCTGGCACACCTGGTTTTTACACACTGCAGAAGAAAAAGGTCTACTTATGGAGGCAACATTTCAGTATAAACAAAAATCGCTCTGATGGAGATAACATGCAGTCTCTTTCTTTACTGAAAGGGAGTGACAAGCCAAGAATTCAATGCATTAGGCTGAGGTTTAAGCTAGGAGGCACAGCTGTTCCTGTTGGAGCTCATGTGCACTTTTGAATCCAACTAAGTTCTTGCTTAAAGGTGTTTCAATTTGTAGGTGAGACTCCACTTATTTGGATTACTATGTAGTCAAAGAAAGTACACCTTTGAGATTTTACTACTATCCTTTTCGTAAGTTTAAATGCTTGGTATCTTCTTTAGGTCATTTCACAGCAAAGTGCATTTAGCCATGAATTTAGTTGGAAAAACACTGAGAAGAGTGCAAAAGCACAAAGGGGTGCAAGGCCCTACACAGCCCATTCCCTACTCTGTCCATCTGTCCCCAAAGCCCCGTACAGCTTGCGTAATGAAGTCTCTGCTTACATGTGCTGTAGAGAAAGCCCCAACGCGGGCTTGGTCTCCTCTGTTACTGCCACACAATCAACAGCAATCAGATAAGGGCGTATCTACTCCTGGTTTGAACATTTGCTAATACAAGATAGCATCACAATGTATAACTCAAAATGCAACTAAAACGAAGGAAGAATTTACTAAATCGGGTGAAGAGCATGTACCAAAGCTGGCTATGAAAATCATAGGGAATTCTGGTAGTTCGAGGCATGCACAGCAAACACAGCCAGAACAGCAAACCAGCACAAAGCACCACTTCACTGCCCCAGTCCTGACACTGCCCCGGCCTGTGGAGAGCATGAACCTGCCCCGACAGGAGACACCCAAGAGTTCCAAGTCATCTTTTTGGATGTCAAAAGGTTCAAGCCATTTGAAAGTCATCTTTCTGAGAAGTGAGATTTGGGGATCCTCCCTTCCCGCTATTTTGCTTTACGTTCAGCTAATCGGTAAGGTGCAAAGGCAAGGTGCTGCCTGCTCTCTGGGTCACAGTGCTGGTTTTTGGACAGCCTGCAGCTGTCCAGGCACTCCCAGGTGAGGGCAGAATTTGCACCTTCCATCTGGCAAAGCCCTGGCTATTACAACTTTCTCAACACTTGACATTTTACCAGCTGACTCCCTGACACAGCCTGTGTGCAAGAACAATTGTCAGCGTGAGCTTTTCTAGTAGGAAAACATATGGAAAACATTTGATTTTGATCTGTTTGCATCCCAAATTGTCTTGATTCCATGCTTTCTTCCCCAGTTTATTTGTTTACGTGTTGCCACTTCAACCTTTAACACAAGCTTGCTCAGTTATATGTTTGCTGTTGAAACAACGTTATCGGAGGATCACTTTCTGGAAAGGATCCTACTCTTCACAAGGGTTTTGTCTCTCTAAATTACTCCATAGCTGTAGCTACTAAGATGTTTCTTAGATTACAAGAAGATTACAAACTGTTTTATATTTGGTTTGCTGTATTTTACAAGGCAAAGGTCTTTCCCTTAGTTATCCAACTTTGTTCCACATTTCCAAGACGTGCCAACTGCCATGCCCAGATTCCAACACACAAACCCTCCTCACTCCAGTGAGGGAGACTTTCCAATTGCTTTTCCTCACAGGCCTTAAAAACAATACTTAGAATAGCAATAAGAGAACATCAAGACAGTGCAGAAAGCACTGATTTCCAACAAACAGCATGCTTACTTCAACTCTACACTTCTCTAAAGCTTGCTGAATTGGGACAAAAGTCTTACGAGAGTGTAGTTTATCAGATTTCCCAAATTTCAGGTTCTGAACCTTGACAAAGAGTAGAAATGAAATGAAGCTGTCAGTGCAACTTAGAGGAGTCATTTTTGCAAAGCATTTTACATTGGGGAAAAAAGTCCTTTTGAAAGTAATACCGTTTTTGCAGAAATTTAAGGAAAAAAAGCGCAACATTTTCCAAAAGTGGCGAGCATAACTTTGGAAAGTACTTTTGAAAAACATTTCTGAAATGCAACATTTCAGTTTTTCACTTTGAAAAACACGTGTAAGGATGCTCCTTATTTTCAAGTAGAAAAAAGGCAAAGCAGTACTTTGTCAATACAAGGTTTGTGGTGGGGTTTTTTTTTCATACTTTTGCATCAAAAAAGGTTGAAAAAACATAGAACTTTCATTTCTGCACAGTTAAAAGCAAACACTAAAACTCTCAACTTCTTTCTCGTCTTGTTACAAGTTTAGGTGAACATTTCAGACTTTGATTCTGTACCTGAGCAATATCATGGGTCCATGATTTCTTTCCAAACACAGTGGGCCAATTCCATCTCAAATGTTAAAGAAAAACCTTTCCAAGCGGAAAGTTGGAATTAGCAATCACTGTCCTTCCAATAGGAGGACGAGGGAGCGATGGGGGAGGGAAAGGAAAGGCTGAGTACAGTAACTGCTGTGTTCAACTTCGAAAAATCCCAATAATAGTGGAATTTATAAAGACTACCTTGAAAACTAATTACTGGGCTTGTTTGTACATCCATTCATTTGGAAAGGAAAGAGTACGTGTTCTCTTGCACAGCCACTTTAGGCGATAGCAGGTTGCAAGACTGATGGCATCTATTTCTCTCTCCTTTAGGATGAAAGGATTCGTGATGGAGATGTGGTAGCAAAGTGTCAAGCAACCTTCCTGGAATGTGTTTCTTCAGGAAGAAAAGAGATCACTGCCTTATTTTATGGATGTCACTGAAGTAGACTTTGAAGTTCTTTGGAAGCACATCACAAGCTTGGCATGGGAAACCACAGCAACAATCATACCTGTTTGATAGATGATTCCTTTAAGTACAACTTGTATGGAGCTGTGTACAGCGTGGTCTTCATCCTTGGTTTGATTACGAACTGTGCCTCCCTCTTTGTTTTCTGCTTTCGGATGAAAATGCGAAGCGAAACAGCCATTTTCATGACAAACCTGGCTGTTTCAGATTTGCTTTTTGTGTTCACTTTGCCTTTTAAAATTTTTTATAATTTCAACAGGCATTGGCCTTTTGGAGATAGCCTGTGCAAGATTTCTGGTACAGCATTTCTCACTAACATCTACGGGAGCATGCTGTTCCTCACCTGCATTAGTGTTGACCGTTTCCTTGCTATCGTCTACCCATTCCGATCTCGCACCATTAGGACCAGGAGAAATTCTGCCATAGTCTGCGCTGGCGTTTGGATACTGGTCCTCAGCGGTGGAATTTCAGCTTCATTGTTCTCCACAACCAACATTTCCAACACCAGCACAACCTGTTTCGAAGGTTTTTCCAAACGTATCTGGAAAACCTATCTGTCTAAGATCACTATATTTATTGAAGTGGTAGGATTCATAATTCCTTTGTTACTCAACCTTACATGCTCTTCTTTAGTTCTCAGGACTCTCCGGAAACCTGCCACCTTGTCTCAGATCGGGACAAACAAAGAGAAAGTATTGAAAATGATCATTGTGCACGTGGCCATTTTTGTCGTGTGCTTTGTGCCTTACAATTCCATACTCTTCTTGTACGCTCTTGTGCGGTCCCAAGCAATAGCAAATTGCTCCTTGGAGAGGTTTGCGAGGACAATGTACCCAATCACGTTGTGCATTGCAACAATGAACTGCTGCTTTGACCCATTCATCTATTACTTTACATCAGAATCCTTCCAGAAGTCTTTCAACATAAAAACCCAGATAAAAATGGATTCTCTTTTCAAGACTGAGACACCTCTTACAAAGACTGCACTACCAGCACCACAGGATGAAATAAGTGACCAGGCTATTACAAACGGAGGAGACCCAACATCTGAATCGCATTTCTAGTGAGATGTTTACACATGGAGTTATCCCCCATTAACTTTTGATTAACACCATGTGTGAAATAGTTGTTTCAGAATATGTGGGTTCACACATGGTGTTAATGAAGAAAAGTTGCTGGGGGATAACTACACAGGTAGACAAATCCTTATACTGGGATGGTCCCATCAGATGCAACAGGCAAACATAAAATAGAAAAATCCCGACGGATCTCCCTTTGGAGGTTATGGATGGGTGACAACGTATGTACCAACTAAGGAGGGAACAGAACAGCTTCTTTAATCAGAAGATGCCAACATTTGGCATTTTTTTTCCCCAGCAGTTGACATGGGACCAGTTGGGAAATAGAAAATTTAATTTTCTTAGAGATGTCTGCCAGTATTTCATGCCTTCTGGAGATGCATCATCATATGTTAACTCAAACTTCACGCAATATGTATGTTTGCTTAAAAAGGCATAATAAAAGCTTTTGGCTTTTCCTTATTTCACTGCAAGAGTGAATATCTGGTTTTACTAGATAGAGGCATGTTGAATTTATTGTATGGAGAGGTTTGAAGTCTAAATTGTTTTGAAAGTAGGCAAACGGTTGCTTGGAATAGAAGAGAAAATATAAGAGAAGAGAATAATAATACAGTTTGAAATAAGAGGTTTCATTTTTGTCAGATTAAGCTGTCTTTTAATTTATTTTAAATGCCACCTCTAGGGAGAAGTAAAGAGCTCATTACTGCTTTGTTGCACCTGGGCTTTTCTGTCCCAGGAGATTGTATGTGACTATTTCTGGTAAGGGCTGGACTATAAAGTCAGCTGAAAGAAAGGGCCTGAAACCCCAGAGTTCTTGCAAGGGAAATGGAAACTGAGTGCGGCTGAAGAACCACAGAGTGCTGACCTTACTAAAGAGCTTGTTTGGATACAGACAATTGGTGTCAGAGCATCCACTTAAGATCTTCCAAGTGATTGCTCACTGGTTTTTGCTATACAGTCAACCAATTAAACTAGAGGGTCTCAAAATAACTCCAAAAGAAGAGTGAGTAAAACAAGTTAGCCGCACTCTTTTCTTAGTCGGTTACATCAATGTTTGCTTGTTTTTCAATTAATTTATTACATATCCTGCATTTCCTTTTATAGGTATAGATTATAGACATATATGGAAAGCTCTGTATGTTGTTGCATTTTACTAGATGGTTCATTTCTCCAGCCATTGTTTCGTATTTGAAGCTATACTGACCTTAACAGGCTGATTCATTCTTGAGGGTAAGACACATAAATGAGAAAAACAATTTAACTTGAAAAAGTACGAAGTTACGACTTGTTAGATCAGTAATCTACATTTTCCACAGTACAGCATAAAGCTACTTCTAGGACTATGTTGCCAAAAAAAAGACAGACACAATATTAATTGAACAGATGTTTTCCACTCAACTATTTATCTTAAGTCTCTTAGATCAAGCCTCATGAGAAACTGAAAGCTACACATCAAATGTGATTACTACTTAAAGCAATCAGAGGTTTTTAAAGTGTGAAAAGAATTCAGCTGTAAAAAATGTTAATGCTTTGAAGGGAATATTTATTTAGCACTACATTCACTTTGAATAAAAAAAGTCAGCTGCTTACCAAGGCTAAGACAGACCCCAGAGATCATTCTATTTTAGCCCCAAAATGACTGTCGCTTATCTAGTGCCCCTGGCTTTTGGCTCTTACTGCAGAAAAGTATATGATCAGCTCATTATATGCAGGGAGTATGAGAGGAGCCAAACTATTATATCTCAGCTTTAAGTTACAGCTATATTTACTAGAAACTTGCACACAAGAATGGCCTGGGGGATTTTTGCTGTGTATTAAACCCTCAGACAACACCACTTTGGAGCAGGAAAAAAAAGTGAAAGCAAGGACAGATCATTCAAACTAGTTGGTAGAATGAGGTGGATGTGGCAGGACAAGGGCACAGTCCATTACAGTGAGTTTGTCAGCAGCTGGGAAAAGTTTACCTCAAACAGAAGCAATGAGCTATGTTTTAAGAAGCATCAGTATTTGCCATTTAACCATAAGCAAAGTGAAAGCCAGTGCCATGCCCCTTTCCTTCCCGTGCAGGCCTCAACTGAACTGTTTAGAGAGCTTTTTAAAATTCGTATTTCCTTTGGCTGATGAGCCTGTTTCAACACTTGCCATAAAACGTATGTATTTCAGAGGAGCTGTTTCCATAACTTCAGATCAAAATGCAAAGTGAGGCAAGAGGGATTTTACAGGCTTTGATACAGGCAGGGTTTTCTGTATGTAGCAAACCATCCTTCACACCGCAGCGCTGTCAAGCAAAGAGGGGGTTGTGAAACCATCAACAACTCTGACAACTCTCTAAGCTGTGCAAGAGAGGTGGGGCACCCCCACTCCACTGCCCTACCATTAACTGGTTGTTAAAAATTGTACTTGATGAGACAAGAGCTCTGTTTTTAGGGATGGGAGAGAGAAGGAATGAGAGTGGGAAGGATTCACTAAAAAGCTGAGGGTGCATTTCAAACCCTCTTCCTATTTGCAAGAAAAATATATGGTACATGAGTAAGTGCTCTTCTCCGAGTCAAAAAAACCTTATTATTTCAGTTTTACAAAGAGACCAGAAACTTGTTTACATGCCAGCTTGCTGTCAATGGGCAAGCTTTTAACTGTCAACTTGTAAATCTTACTTTAAAGCTCCTTCTTTCCACTTGCCACAAGAAACAGAAAGATGAGATTCCCCAAGTTACATGGGGTTTGGGAGCTTCATGGGACAGGACCGTTCTCGCACGTGGTGGCTGCTCAGTCGCTCTGGGGTAAGCGAGAGCAGAACTTGGCCCAGCACCTCAGAGCTGGCAGCAGAGGAATACCTCATTTGCAAGAATCCTGGAAGACCTTCTGCTCTGTACTCTGCAGACCTCGCTCTAGTTAAATCCAAGGGAAGAAAAAAATCTAACCTAGAAACCACTGTCTAGCCTTCTTAAGGAAATGTTAAAAGAGAGCGGGGGAAAGAACTGCGTGCGACTGGACAACCTCCAGGCTGTACATACATAGCTTAACTGTAATCCGAGCATAATGGGTGTCTTTTTCTAAGTGAAACTAGTGCCAATGCTTACAAATTTCTGTTTGCAGTTTTATGGGGCAAGAGCTGTGGTCGATATTCTCACATAAAATGTAATACTATCATCATGTGCCAAAATGCTAACTGAAAAGATTCATTATTTTGTAATTTAATACCTTATAAATTATATGGAGATCATATGTTGACTGACACTCACATCTGGTAGGATAGTTCTTGACTAATCTTTTTTTCTAGGTCAGGTATACCAAGTAAATGCTCTACGGTTTGTGTATAAATAACCAATTATGCATTCAGAGAGAGGAAAAGTAATTTTTCAGATGTTGGTAAAGCCAAGCTGGAAGGAACGATGGTGGTAAAAGAAAAGTGGATTCACAGTTTTTCTGGCTGAGGTGCAGCTGAGTGTTCCTTCTCCCCTGACAAGGGGCTATTGTCAGCAAACAGCACACACCAGAACTACAAGTTTAAAAGCAAAAATCAAATTTAGAAGTCAATGCCTTTATCTAGCTGAAGCTGAGAGACAGGGCCCAGCAATCCTCTCAGACGCTAAACATACAGCAGTAATCAAGGATTTCATTGCTCTCAGCCAGCTCACTTTTCCTATTCCCCAGTCCTCCGTGTGCGATTCATTCACTATAAGCTCACCACACGCTTTGCAACTCATTGCCCTGCTAGAAAGCTGAAGCTCTGAAAGGCAACATGAAAACCTCCCTGCCCAAGCTCACCTTTGTATACGCACACCTATGCAAAATGCCACGCCAGTCTGAGTTTTCACGATATATGTCATGACAGGAGGAAGCAGGGCCTTGTATGACAGTCACCATGAAAGCCCATCCTCTTACAGCAGGCTTTTCTTAGTAACACATCAGGCTGTACATCAGGCGAAAGGTGCCAAGTGTTCGTGGGACAGCATGAACCTTCACCAGCTTTGCAGAATCAGTGCTAAGTACTCAGGCTCAAGTCTATGAAATGCAAGGGCAAGGAGGCAGCACAAGGCACATATAGAAGTCATGTACTGGCTCCTTGTGTAAAGTAAGGAGGATGAAAAGTTCCTGTGCTGCACATGCAAGTACATGGCTGCTCAGAGAGCAAGTCTCTGTTCCTCCTAAGCTTGCCCACCGCAGACCTGCTGCGCAGATACAGCCTCTAGGTCGCTCCAAAAACACCCCCATGACATTTTTAGGAAGTTCTCCCTGTGGTGCTGCAGGGGTGAAGTGAGACTGTCTGCTCTCCCTCCCCGTCCCCTACCCAGCAAAAACCTGCTGTATAACCCAGAGAGGACTTCCCCGACAAACAGCTGGTGAAGGAAAAGGGGACCCATCACACTGATAAGATTATACAGCACCTCTGATGATCTTCTCAAAGGCCGGTGTCCCTAATGAGCTCCCCAGTAACACTCCATGTCATTCCCAGTGGGTGGATTTGCTGTAAAACAGGCAGGAAATTACTATCTTGGAAATGCTGTCTCAGAACAGGGACAGCAACAGACAACAACGGTCCCTGTGAAAGCACATCTACACAGTGGTCTACTTGGAGAAAACAAAAATAGGAGGTGAGAGGGAACCGAGGGGAGCAGCTGAGGCTGTTTCCACAGCTCACCACACAGCACAGCGAGGAGATGCTCAAATTGTCATCGACCCAGGCTGCAAAGTCCAAGCAAAAGAGGTAGAGGCATGTGGGCTGGCAGCAGCACCGCCAGGCTCCTGCACACCCCCAGCTCCGCTCAGCAGCTGGCTGCACAAAGGTGACCGTCCTGCAGAGAGGGTTGGGAGGGCCGCCCCGTCATTCTCCGCGGGTATGGGGCACCGAAAGCCAGGCTGGGTCTCACTGCACCTGCCGAGCAAATGTAACCCTAAGCACAGGATAATCCCAAAGCTTTGCTGTGTCCGAAAGGATGGACTGCAAATAGTTCTTTGGGTAGGATTTAAGAACAGAAACAAACCAGTCCTCATTTCAGTAAGCAGATTATGTTG